GCGACGCGGTGAAGTTGAAGAACGTGCAGCCCGGCGGCGGTGGATCGAGGTTCGTCAGCCAGTCCCGCAGCGCCGTGGCGTCACCCGACAGGAACGCCTCCAACAAGAGTGGCGGCAGGCTGAACTGGTAGACCATGTGGGCCTCGTCCGCCTCGCCGGTGCGCGGGTCGAGTTGCCCGAAGTACGAGATGTTCTCGACGTGCGGGACGTTGGTCTCGGTCAGCACCAGCGTCCGGGGTGAGTACGCGGCAAGCACGTCGCGCATGAGCTTCACGACCTCGTGGGTCTCCGGCAGATGCACGCAGGTCGTGCCGAGACGCTTCCAGAGGTAAGTGATCGCATCAAGCCGCACGATCCGCGCGCCGCGCATCGCGTACTCGACGAGGATCCGCAGCATCCGCGCGAGCACCAAGGGCTCGCCGTAATTGAGGTCGATCTGATCATCCGAGAACGTCGTCCAGACGTGCCGCGGGCCGCGGCTGGTCTCGACGGCGGTGAGCAGCGGCAGGCTCCGTGGCCGCGTCACCTGCGTGTAGTCGAGCGCCGGGTCGGCCTCGATGAAGAACCGATCGTAGGGCGATTCGCCCCGCTTGTAGGCGGCGTACCACTCGCTGTGCTGCGAGATGTGGTTGAGCACCAGGTCGAACATCAGCTCGAACGGCTCACCCAGCGCGGCGATGTCTTCCCACGTCCCCGAGTCGGGATCGACCGCCAAGTAGTCGATGACCGAGAAGCCGTCGTCCGAAGAGTACGGACAGAACGGCAGCAGGTGCACCGTGCTGAGCACCTTTTCCAAGCCGTTCTCGACGAGCCACTCCCGCAGCGCCACGAGTGGCGACTGCGCGCCTTCGTCGCTGCGGAGTTGGTCGGCGTAAGTGATCAGCACCACGTCACGCTCGTTCCAGCGCGGCCCCGCCTCGTCCGTGGGAGCGGCGGAGAGGTCGGCAAACTCCGCCTCCATCGCCCGCAGCGCTTCGTCAGCCCTGTCGCCGTAGATGCGGCGGAGTCGGACGGTGAGCGACGTGACGCGGTCGGCGAGTGACAATCCGTTGTTCCTTCGTAGATGGCGATCCGGCGGCGTTGGCCGTCGGTGTTTAGTGTAGCGGCGTTGGTTCGTGGTGCGCCGGGCGCTGCCGCCCTCGGCTGAGAGCCTTTCGATCGTTAGAGGTCTTCCATGCCCGTCACATTCGTTACGAGCGCGCGGAGTTTGCGGCGCAGCACCGCGTAGCTGAAGAAGCGTTTGCCGAGTTCGTAGTTGTGCTCGACCATCTGTTCGCGGTACTCCGGGTCGTCGATCACGGCGCGGACCTTCTGGACCACATCGCGGGTCATGTAGCCGTTCATCGTGATGACTTTGAAGCCCTTGGGCTCGATGTCCGATACGAAGATCGAGTAGCGGTTCACCAGCACCGGCTTGCGGTAGTAGAAGGCTTCGATCAGGGCGTTGCCGAAACCTTCGTAGAGGCTTGGGTACGTGATAA